CAATAGGTGATTTACCTTAGAAAGCATATTTAATCCATCTTTTTATTCCTTTTTTTTTTCCTACTGAATTATTGGACATTCTCCTCTGTTGTAAGAGGGAAAATAACTAGATAGGCAAAAACATGATAAATTATTAGGTAGTGCTGGTGTGATAAAAATACCACAAATGAATGGTTTAAAGAATAGAAATTTATTTTCTCACAGTTTAGGAGGCTAGAAGTCTGAATTTACCTTGTGACTCTAGGAGGATGCTAGAGTCCAAATTTTTTTTGTGACTCTTCGAGGATGTCCTATATTTTCTATTTTAGCTCCAAAAAAAAAAAGCTCATTGCCATTGATTAGATTCTGACTCAAAGCAACACCCACTGGGTTTCCAAGGCTGTAAATCTTTACAGAAGCCTACTGCCACATCTTTCTTCCACAGAGAAGCTAATGGGTTCAAACCACCAACCTTTTGGTTAGCCTTAACTAGTATGACACCAGAGCTCCTTATTTTAGCTCCTACTAGCTGACAGTCATTAGAATTACTGGGTTTGTATATTCATCAGCTTTCATTACCTTCAGATAGTGACCTTCTTCCCCTGCTTCTTCTGTCTGCTTGTCTCTGCTGTTTCTTATCTTCTTACTCCTCATTTGTCGACCATCTTGTTATCCAACACTTCATATTTAAAATAATAGTGAAAAATCTACTATCTGACTATTTTGAACATTAATGACATATGTCTGGCAATAATGAATACTGAGGTACAAGATGAGAGTAATAATGGCTGTGATAGTTAAAGTATATGTCAGCTTGGCTGGGCCAGCATTCTCAGTGGTTGAACAGCTATGTGATGATGTAGTTGTCTTCCATTTTTTGATCTGGTATAGTCATCCTCCATTTTCTCACAATGCTTATTTCTGCATAATGACTTGGTCTTTAGAACATAACCACATCCATAAATGAGGAATGGGTAAAATTTAGAAGTGATTAGGTCTAGAGCACACACTACACTGATAGGGCATCATTAATATAACAGAGAAAACCTTATTTCTAGAAGGAATTACATCAACAAATATTGATGTTAAGATTTCAACATGTAATTTGGAAGGATATGATTCAATCCATAATACATGGTAGGGATTTTTTTAGGAATCACTAAAAATAAATTACTATTGAGACTTTTATTTAGTTAAATGCATTGTTGACAAAATATACTAGGGCTTGCACTTACATGTAACTATTATACCATCTCTACTCTTATAAATAACAGAAATTACTAGTGTTTCTGTGTTTGTGCTCCACTAGTTAAAGAAGCAATGATAGTGAGGATGGCCAAGGATGGGGCAGGGTTCATTCTGCTGTATGTCACGTCACTATGAGTCAGAACTGACCCAGCAACATCTAACAATAACAATAATCAAAGGAAGATAGGCATTTTAAGTGGTTATTAGGAAAGCC